GTGATCTCCAGATATTGGAACAGGTTATGGGTAAACGCCATAAATGGAGGCTCGCACACAGGTGCCATAGAGATACGGTAAAGGACAATATCAAGTTTCATCTTTTCTTTTCAGCTGCGCCTCGGTGAAGGCTATCGAAGAAACATGTTTCCAAACAGTACCCCCCTGGAAACACCAAAAACACGAGTACGGCATGCTCAATGACGAAGGAACCAGGCGGTCCCAACTTCCCTCGAACGTTACACGTGACCAGCTTTTGTCACTGGGAGGTTTGTCCAGCCCGCACGAGGGCTAACACATCTACAATGACATCGACAACAAAAACAAAAACTTGTGGCCAGCAGCCCGACTGGATAGTTACAGGGGTCCTGCGACACACACGCACACACACACACACACGCATACAAACACACACACACACACACGCACGCACGCACGTACGCACGCACGCACGCACGCACGCACGCACGCACGCACGCACGCACGCGCGCGCGCACGCACACACACACGCACACACGCACACACGCACACACGCACACACACACACACACCACACACACACACACGCACACACGCACGCACGCACGCACGCACGCACGCACGCACGCACGCACGCACGCACGCACGTGGAAGGGGCACGAGAGGACGGGAAGGGAGGGAATGGGGCGGGGGTGAAACGAGGAGGGCTGCAGGCGGGATGTGTCAACCCGCCGCATGAACAGAGGCGAGCGTCTAGAAGGATTTCTCCCCCATCCAGCTGGACCAACGAAGAGACAACAAGGGCTCGGCTCACCAGCAACACGTTCCGGCGCAGAGTGGCGACCAGCAGCAACGTCACCGCGGCGGAAATTGTGGAAGACACCCATGCGTCTGCCTTGCCTGTCTCTTTCCTCCTTCTGCTGCTCCTCCTTGCCCTCATCTTCCTCCTCCTCCGCGTCCTCCTCTTTCATTCCTCTTACTTACAAATAACTCCTTCCTGTCGCACCCCGAGGCTGGTCGAAAGGGCGGGCCGGGCGTTTCGCCTGAGGCGTCCTCACCACCTATGACCCTGAAACTCAAAATCTGGCAACAGTTTCACAAATGGAGGGCTGGCGGTTTTCAAAATATTGCTCTCGCCGTAGCGCCGCGCAAAGTCGCTTAAACAATTGAAGCAATATCACGGTTTGATGGCGGGTGGTTTTCACAATATTGCTCTCGCCGTAGCGCCACGCACATTCGTTTTGATCATTGGCAACAGTTTCACGGATTGAGGGCAATTTTTGTTCAATATGTGGCTCGCGCCGAATGGCCGCGTACACTTGTCGCAAAAAATTGCAACTGTTGTACGGGTTCACATGGCCAGCGTACCAAGGACTCAGGCTTGTGAGGGCGCAGCAGTTACGTTGATTCGCGGTGTTGATGTCCCAAGAGTGGCGTTCTGGCACGATTCAGGATCGTCAAGACGCAACTGTCAAGTTGATTCGTGGCGTTGGAGTCCCGAGCACGGTGTTTTCGCACGCTTCAGGGTCTTCAAGCGGTTGTCTCCCTACAAGGCAGTTCCCCCAGTGGAAATGAATTGTTGTAGGATCCTATGAAGAGAGATTGGGGGGGAGGGTTTGCTCCAACATCGTTGATGAGTCTTGGGTCTGCAATGGTCCTCTTCCTCCTCCTCCTCCTCCTCCTCCTCCTCGTTGCCTCCCTGATTTTTGGATGGTTTATTCCTGAGGGTTTCCTCGGATCGAGGTGGCCAGAGCTCACGTCGCCGCCACGCGAGCCGTTTAAGGCCACATCGTGCTCATAGAGCCGCCTTGAACGTCTTTGCGACATACTCCAGCATATTCCTCCTCATGTCCTCCTCCTCCTTGCTGTCCCGCCTGCCGTTTGAGGCGTCATCGTGCTCATAAAACCTTGAACGTCTTTCACACATACGTAGCACCCCGCCATTGCGGATAAGAGTGAGAGGGCGGGCGCGGACGACGCGGGCGTCGTCGAGCCGGCGGACCTCGTGGCCCCCACCTTCCCTGTCGATGGCGCTCTCCTCCTCCTCCTCCTCCTCCTCCTCCTTCTCCTCCTCCTCTTTCTCGTCCTCGTCCTCGTCCTCATCGTCATCGTCATCGTCATCCTCCTCCTCCACCTCGTCCTCCTCCGCCTCCTCTTCTTCTTCCTCGTCCTCCCTCCCCCCCACTCGTCCTTGCATCATCGTCCTCCCATTGTCGTCCTCCCCCTCATCGGCCTCCATCATCGTCCTCGCATTGTCGTCCATCATCATCCTCCTCCCTCCCTCCCCCTCCTCCCCCTCCTCCTCCTTCTCCTCCCCCTCCTCCCCCTCCTCCCCCTCCTCGTCCTCCTGCTCCTCCTCCTCCTCCTCCTCCTCCTCTTTCTCCACTTTCTCCTTACATCCTCTCCTCTTCAGCGTCCTCCTCGACCCCTGTTTACTCCTCCTGCCTCCCCCTCCTTCCTTTCCCAAGATACTGGCAACGCAATCGTTTTTCCCACTTTATGCTTCCCGACTTCTCTGATCAAGGCAACTCGCAAGGGTAAAGTTGCTGGACGGGCTGGTGTGGATGCGCGGGGCTTGAAGAGGTCCTTGCGGGCTCAGACGGCATGCAAAAATCCCGCGCTCGTGCGGCATTGGTTTGTTCAGTGAACGTGGTTTGGGTCGCGGGCTCTCCACCTCCACCTGGAAGGAATGCAAAAGCAGCCCGCCGCAGGCGCCAAAAAAATTGGTTTGTACACTGAACGTGGTTTGGGTCGCGGGTGGGCCGCGGGTTCTCCACCGGGAACGAATGCAAAAGATGCCCGCCGCAGGCGCCGAAAAATTTGGTTTGTACCCTGAACGTGGTCGCGGGTGGGCCGCGGGCTCTCCACCTGAAACGAATGCAAAAGATGCCCGCCGCAGGCGCCGAAAAATGTGGTTTGTACCCTGAACGTGGTTTGGGTCGCGGGTTGGTCGCGAGTTGGTCACGGGGTGGGTCGCGGGCTCTCCACCTGGAAGGAATGCAAAAAAAGCCCGCCGCAGGCGCCGAAAATGGTGGTTTGTACCTTGAACGTGGTTTGGGTCGAAAGTGGGTCGCGGGTGGGTCGCGGGGTGGGTCGCGGGTGGGTCGCGGGTGGGTCGCGGGTGGGTCGCGGGTGGGTCGCGGGTGGGTCGCGGGTTGGGTCGCGGGGTGGGTCGCGGGGTGGGTCGCGGGGGGTCGCGGTCGCGGGGTGGGGGTCGCGGGGGTCGCGGTGGGTCGCGGGGTGGGTCGCGGGCGACGGGTGGGACGACAACAAACAACAACAACAACAACAACAACAACAACAACAACAACAACAACATCAGCAGCAGCAGCAGCAGCAACAACAACAACAACAACAACAACAACAACAACAACAACAACAACAACAACAACAACAACAACAACAACAACAACAACAACAACAACAACAACAACAACAACAACAACAACAACAACAACAACAACAACAACAACAACAACAACAGCAACAGCAACAACAACAACAAACAACAACAATAATCCGCAGCGCGGAATTCCACTTCAGCCACGCACCCAGGGACAGTGAATGACCGTTCGGCCCCCTCACTCTGACTCTGGCACAGTCCTTCTCCTCCTCCTCGAGCGTAGCCAAGAGCGGGGTCCTGGCCAAACACTCTGGAGCAGCTGGTGGGCGACGAGCTTGGAACCTGACAGCGCGCACCTGTCCTCGACTGACCGTTTCGGGCAGGGGACGGGGCGAGCTGGGTTAGCCAGCGCACGCAATGCATTATATATCTGTATCTATATATATATATATATATATATATGTGCCGTGGCACCCCGCAGCTGCGGATAGGAGTGAGGGGGCGGCGGGGACGTCGGCAGTCTGCGAGGCTCAGGGAGCCTGCCGCCCGTGCCTCGTTTTCACAAGTTGTGCAGAGAGCCCGCCGCAGGCCCCGATTTTTCCGTTGAAGCAATGATGTGGGTGGGTCGCGTGTGGGTCGCGGGCCGTGTCGCGGATGGGTCGCAGGTGAGTTGCGGGTGGGTCGCAGGTGGGTCGTGAGTGGGTCGCGGGTGGGTCGCGGGCGGGTCGCGGCGTGGGCCGCGGGCGGGTCGCGGGTGGCACGCGGGTGGGTCGCGGGGTGGGTCCAAGGTGGGTCGTGGATGGGTCGCGGGGTGGGTCGCGGGTGGGTCGCGGGCCGGGTCGCGGGCGGGTCGCGGGCCGGGTCGCGGGTGGGTCGCGGGTGGGTCGCGGGTGGGTCGCGGGCGGGTCTCGGGGTGGGTCGTGGATGGGTCGCAGGTGGGTCGCGGGTGGGTCGCGGGGGGTGGCCGCGGGTGGGTCGCGGGCCGGGTCGCGGGGTGGGTCGCGGATGGGTCGTGGGTGGGTCGCGGGTGGGTCGCGGGCCAGGTCGCGGGGGAGACGACGACAACAACAACGCAACAACAAGCAGAATCCGCGCCGCGGAGTTCCACTTCAGTCACGCGCCCAGGGACAGTGAATGACCGTTCGGCCCCCCTACTCTGGTAAGATCACCTTAAAAAGCAACGTTCGTTTTTCTGGAAATGATGGGGCGTGTCTCAACTACTAATTTAAGTTTTCAAGACCAGAGAAGACCAGGAGAGGGGGAAGGAGGCCATGACGGTTTTCAAGGCTCCCCAATCAATGGCGTCGATTTGGGGCTGCAACGCGGGGAGCCATTGACGAAGACGACCATACACCGTGTCCTTTTATCAGGTTCGGATAAAGTATAGCCACGATCTGCTGGTATAAGATATGTTGAGGCTGAAGGGAATGATGTGGGGGGAGATGGGCATGGTCCGTACAACATGTGTCTAGCTGTCGGCATGCTTCCGTACACGCTGGCCCTAGAACTTCATCCTCTGGGAATCTCGTCGACGCGGCCTTGAGCGTGCACGCGAAGGGTTCGGACTGGCCAGCCAGCACCTGCACACCATGGAGGTGGCGTGCAGCAGCTTCGGACAACCTCCAGTGGCTTTCCTACCGCTCGGAGATCGTGAAACGACTCGTCCTCATCAGCTGCGCCGCACCTCGTCCTCCTCCTCGTACTCCTCCTCCTCGTACTCCTCCTCCTCCTCCTCCTCCTCCTCCTCCTCCTCCTCCTCCTCCTCATCCCGCTCGCCCTCCCCGCCCTGCCCTCGCCCGCGAATTGGCAGCCGACTCGGGCGCAAACACCGTGGCAACCAATTCCTTGTTTGGGCGTGCTGCATATCGCGTGCCCACTTCGACTCCAAGGTTGGACGCCCGAGTCAGCCCGGATAACTCCACTCCAGGGGAAACTCTGGTTCGGGCTCAGACGCACGAGCCAAGAAATACCCCTGAACACCCCCAGCCACGACGATTCGGTGGTGGTTGGACGCCCAAGTTATCTGGGATACCCATCGGTCGGAAGAAGTAGGTAGAAACATGAAGTAGGAAGGCGTTGGAAATACACTGGGTTTCCGCCCGCCTCCTGAAGAGGAAGGAAAAGGGAAAACCACTCGACTCTTGAAGTAGGAAGGCGCTGAAAGTAGATTGGAATCTGGGAATCCAAAAATACCTACTTTCAACGACCATTGGGTAACTCTGATCTGGGGAAACTCCAGTTTGGGCCCACCCTGAGTGGTTTGACGCCCAAATTGTGCAGGATACGGGTCCGAGGCAACGGCCCCCGAGGCCCGAACCGGGAGCATCATCCCCAGCTTGTCGCGCTCCATGTTGGAGCCCTTCTGGGCCTCGGGCGGGGTGCTCTGGAGGCCGCGGGGGCCTCCCTGGAGATCCTTGGGGCACCTTGGGCCAGGGGCACCTCCAGAACGCCCGCACCGTCGCCCCCGAGCTCGGCGGGGGCGACGGGGGCACCGGCAGCGGCGCCGGCGAGAAGCTCGCGGGGCCAGGCTGGAGATCTCCAGGCGCTGCTGCCGCCCCGCGCGCCTCGCGCGCCTCGTGCGCCTCGTGCGCCCCCTGCTGATGCCGCCGACGGCGGTGGTGCCCCCGCCCGGCCCGGTGGCGTCGACGGTGGTGGAGTGCAGCGGACCTCTGGCAGCTCGCCGTGCTGCTGGCCACCAGGGGCAGTCCGACGCTCGCCGGCAGGCGGTGGAGCTCTCTTGGGCGCGCCGCCCCGCGCGCCTCGCCCGCTTCGCCGCGGGCAGCGGCGCCGCAGAGGGGCCGCCGCGTCCAGGCCCGCCGCCCCGGAGAGCCCGCCGGCGCCGAGCTTTTGCGGAGGGCGCGCGTGCCCACGGCCCTAAGGTTGCGTCGGGCATGTCCTTCTGCAGGCGGGCGTTGGTGGAAGATCGGGAGATCGTCGAACATATTTCGAAGTAGCCAACCGTGGTCCAGAAATCCTCCCCGGACTATGTTCTGACTGTTTTTGAACTTTCCTCCTGTAGAGGGACAGGCCTTACTGGACCCTAACGAACGCCCCCACCTTCAGGACGCGCGTGCCCACAGCCCCGCCTACGGTAGGCTCGGGCAGCGTCGGCACGCGCAGAGGTCTTTGACACCGCGTCGATCGTTCAGCCTCGAGTCGATCGCGACCCCGATCCTTCAAGGCTGGACTCCGTTGGGCCCAATGGCATCACCGTGCTCCTCGGTGCTTCCGCGTCGCGGAATGCAACCCTGAACGCCCTCGCCGGAGTCGCCGGCGCAACATCGCCGCGTGAACGTACCGTGCGAGTCAGGACGCAGCCAAAAAGAACTAAGCGCTGAGATAAACATAACAACTCGGAGGTCCGCGCGGATTTTTTTGATCGGCGCTAGACCCCCCTGGCGGTGCCTCTGGCGACGCCCCTGGCGCGCTCCGCGCGCTAGGGAGGGGGGTCCAGCGCCGATCCAAGAAATCTGCGCGGACCTCCGAGTTGTTATGGTCATGCCATCATTTAGTTTTCTAAGTTAACCAGATAAAATTTAAGTCGTGCCGCGGGGAGCTTGCATCCACCCTCCAAAGCTGAAGCCAGCGCATCGAGATGTGCGGGCGGAGAAGCATCAAGCCAGAAGCCCATCGCCAGCTTTGGAGGGGCCGCTCCAGAAAGAATACCCACATGCGCAACTCAACTTCGCAAGGGCCGCTCAACAATGACGCATCGTCAAGAGCCACTGGGCGGCGTCGCGCGAATCGCGACAAGACTTGTGGATGCCATGCTGGCAAGCATGCTCTGCCTACCAGCACTGACCTGGGACGGACGAACATCCTTCAAGAATATGCCACCCTCCGCCGGCCAAAATGAGGAGCATCCGACGGTACCCTCCCCCAGGGTGCACAAGAACATCCAGCAAACACGGGTACCCTCCCCGAGAGGACCTCGGTCTTCTACCTCGGACGGACAGTACAAGCGCAGACCTTGATGCCACGCTCTCCGAGCCCTACGAAGGTCGGCGACGATTTTGCTGGCGAATCTCGCCGTGAATCTTATGTTGACCGATCCGCAACCGTGCCAAACACCACGCTGCTGTGAGGCATCGGGGCTCGATGCCCCACTCGAGCAGCCCACGTGCCAATGTTGGCGGCGCGCAGAAGGGGGTATGGGGAGGGGGGAAGGCTTCTTAGAAGGAGGCTGCTTCTTAGAAGGCGCCGGCCTTACATCTACAGAGAAGGCCCGCGCCCTTCTAAGAAGCAGGGGTGCTTCTGAGAAGCCTTCCCCCCTCCCCCTACCCCCTTCTGCGCGTGGCCAGTGATCGGCTGTACGCAGGAGTGACCCTGGGTAAGAGTGACCTTTGGTGCGCGGTTTTTGGGGGGCCGCGGGGGGGCCAACACACAAGCACGCGAGACGCTGCGATCGCATCGCGTTCGGCGATCGGGGGGCCCCCTTGAGCCCGCACCAAAGGTCACTCCGGCGAAGGGCCACTCTTACGCGTAGCCGGAGTAATGGCTGTGACCCTGGCCCCCCGGACCTCGAGCGGCCTCGGAGGCCCCGGCCTCGCGGCGGGAGGCGGCCTCGGAGGGCCCAGCCCGCACCGCGGACCTCGTGGGCGCCGCCGCCGCGGCAGGGCGCGCCCTGCGCTGAGGGGGGCCGTGCCCTCGAGCCCGCCAGCGCTCGGGCGCCCCCGCCCCGTGCCCTCTGCGGCATCGCGCGCGTGGACGCTTCGCGAGAGGGCCCGAAGCAGGCTCCTCTCGATTGCCCCCGCCGAGCGCACAAAAAAAAAAACGCGCACACGTCCGAGCGGCGCCGCGCGGGCACACGGCCACCAGCTGCACCTCGCAGCCGCGCGCGTCCTCACCCGGGGCAGCGGCTGCGGGGTCCCCGCCGTGGCCCTCCGGCCCTGCCGCGCTCTCGCCGCGGCCGCGGTGTGCGCTGGGAGCGGGCGCTCGCCCTGGGCAGCGTGGCTGCTCTGCCGGCCCCGCTCCGATCCGACTCGCTCCGGAGGCGTTGCCTCCGAGAGTGCCCTAGCGGCTGCTGCCCAGGTCCTCTGCCTTCTGCCCGGCCGCAGTGCGGCCTGCTGTGAGCAGCTGCCTCCCTGTGGCATGCCGTGCTTCGGCTGCTGGGGGGGGCACTCTCCGCCAGGGCGCGCTGGAGGATGTGCGGGAAGTGCCAGCAGCACCTGGCCCCTCTGGACAGAGCCTTCCAGCCTCCCTAAGCCCTGTGGAGCACGAGACACTACGCCCTTGGAAGGACCTGCCTTCCCGCTTGTGCTGGACAGTACGGGCCTTCCTTGCCAACCTCCTGTGCATCAGTCACACAGGGTGCGAATCAAGCTCAGGCCTCTCATACACTGCAAGCCTAAGGGCTCACGTACTGAACGCCATTGCTGCAATTAGGTGCTCATTTTGTTGCAAATCTATCCTCCCAAGCTTTCCCGCTCTCCGCTCTCCCTGTTCCCTCCGTAGACGAGGAAGTCGGCAATACGACAGACTGGGGCCAATGGCTGCAACCAGAAAACATCCACCCCACCATCCCTCCTTTCTCCCTCCCTCCTCCCTACTATACTCCTAATTACCTATGCGACCACCCTTAGGGTGATAAGGAGGTTATGTGGGGGGATCAGCTTTCGGTGTCCGATTGGGGTCGGATCGGATTCAGCGGAAACCAATTCGACACCACGGAGCACTTGTTTGGCCATCTACCCATCGATCTTCTCTCTCTGTCAACCTATCGAGATCACTACCGATCTCACGATCGGACGATCTCACAATCGACCTTACTCACGATCTCACGATCGACTTGCACATCGATCTCACCATCTCTGTCCCGACGGGACACCGACGGGACACCACGGCGGGACACCCCCAGCCGCCGCCCGCGGGCACCGACGGGACACCACGGCGGGACACCACGGCGGGGCACCACAGCGGGACCCCCCCCCCGTCACGCCGGCCCACCGGAGGGGCGGTTTTTTGTCTTGCCCCGCCCCAGCCACAGCGGAGTGATTCCTCTCGCCCGCCCACGCACGCAGCTTCGCCTCGCCCGCACGTGCGGCATGAACCAGAAACCGACGCCGATTTTCCAGTGGTGGGCTCTCCGTTCCACTTCGATCTCACCTCCCAACATCCGATATCCCCACCGAAGGCTGACACTACTATGTCCACTGCGAGTGGCGCTTCAAAGCGAAAGTAAGCATTCCGCCAACCACAACGATAGGAGGACAGAATGATGAGCGGACCGTTCGGCTGTCACCTCGATCAGCAACTTTGGCTGCACATGTCGTGGAGCACTCGTCTCCAGAGGCCCCGTCGAGCAGCGAGAGCATCTGGGCTCTGAGACTCAGCCCGTCCCAATCCAAAGAGCAGTGCGCAGTCCATACTTATAGAAGCCCCCTGCGAAGAGAGAGAGCTACTGCTTGAAACATTATGACGCCCCTTGTGTGTACTAGAACAAACGAACTGGCAGTACAAGCGCATGCGAAGTTGCCAAGCGCGATGGCTCCGCCACCGTGCCGTCGGCACTGACTGGACAAACCCCACATCTTGCCATCGCTCGGACGTCCACTCCCAGTGCATGTTTCGGCTTCGTGCATGCTTCTTCCACAACATGATCCAGGATACTCCTCGATGGTCCTCGCCGAAAAAACGCACACGTCCGAGCGACGCCCAGAGATCCCCGGACATCCGCCG